CCCCCCCCACCCCATCCCACCCCATAGGGACTGCAGCCCATAAGCCCCTTAAAGAGGGCCCCGATTGGTGGACTTCCCCACCCCAAACTGATTGTCCACCAACTGGTAGCTGTTGGGGGTGACTAGCTTCCACAGGGCGATTGCAACCCACTTCTTCATAGGGATGGTGGGCCGCAGGTAGAGGTCTGTCTCCGGAGGGCAGGGGTGAGCCAGGCACACAGTTCAAGAAAGGTGGCCTTCCGCATGCAGAAGTTGTTGAATCACTGCTGGTCATTCCACTGCTCCAGAACCAGCTGGTCCCACCAGTCTGAACTAGTGTCCAGCCTCCAGAACCTTCTCTCAACTGTGGGAGTGCAGCAGCCAGACTGGAGCATCCGCAGCCACGGAGAGGGTCCTCAGAATGAGCTTGGAGTCCAGGTCCTGCAGTACCAGGAAGGCAGCTAGCACTAAGTGCTGCAAGAACTGAAGTATGGTTGTGTAGGGCCATCACATGCCCAGGGGCAGCTCCAGCTCCATAGCACAGAGGAAAAAGCTGTGGCATCCAAAAAAGAACAGGGCAACCACAGCAGGCACTGCAAACATTTAGCTGTCCCTCAAAGAGGTAGCAAGCATGCAGAAGCAGCAGGATGTCCAGGGGGGTCCCTTTCAGAGAATGTCTCTGAAAGGACTCCAGCACCAGCACTCGAAAGCAATTGGAGACCTATAGCCCAGACTGAAGTGGGTCCGGGTGGCCTTTTATGCAAGAGAGCATCCAATGAGTCAGAATGTTCTCTTTCACAAAAGCGCATCGCTTTTTCAGCACACTTTTGTGTGTGGATGTGCTCTTGCACAAGAAATTATTTAGGAAGATCTCTTCTGAAAAAAGCTTCTTGTGCAAGAAGCCTGTAGTCTAGACATAGCCTAATTGATTTAAGTAATAGGCCCCATCAGCCAACAAAGCCAGGTCCAAACACAGTCCTGTGGGATGAGAAACATGTCAATGGGGGCAGAGGGAAGAACCCTCCACTATCCCTGTCACTTAAAATGTAAGCTACCAAGCCCATCCTTCCCTCAATGAGACTGCAGCCACAGTCCATTCTGCAGCTTGTGGTCATTGTGGTATGGAATTATTTGATTTATTATGGCCTTTGAAGTTGAGTCAACCTTTCTCCAAGAAATTCAAATTTTTGCCTGGAGAACTACATATATTGTCAATTTAACAGGTCCCTTGTTAGAGCTAAAGATCCAGTTCAATAACAGTTTTTTCACTTCCTTTCTTCTATGCTGAAAGCCCCACCTAAACCCTGAAAGGTCATGTTTGTTGTTTGTGTTGGATTCCACAAGTAGGAAACTATAGGGATTTGTGTATGTTTTACCTAAATTCACTACTTAGCTACTGCTAGTATGTTACTATGACTCCAGAGACAAGGAAGGTTAGGTAATACCTTTCACTGGACCAGAGTCTGTCTGTAGGTGAAGCAGACTATCTTTCCAGCTCCCACAGAGCTCCTTGGTGAAAGTTTGTCTCTTTCACCAACAGAAGCTTGTCCATAAAAGTTATGACCTCACTCACCTTGTCTCTAATATCCGGAGACCACCAAAGCTACAGCAACATTGCAAACAGTTATGACTCTGGTAACTTTTCAAAGTCAACAAAGTGTTTTTGAACAATGGATTGGTGAAAATGGGTACAGGGCAACCAATATACAAGCTACATGTTTATTTTTATAGATTCCATAAATTATAATATAACTATTGCACCCAACATTCAAAATAAATGCTTTCTTTTTGACACTGATGGGAAAAAACAATATATTTTAATAGGTCTGTCTCCATACTTCAATGATCCACACAAGACCATGTATAATGTGGGCATCCTGACAATTTGAACTATCCAAACAGCTTGTATATATCTAGCAGCATTCACAAAAATTAACTTACAGTATGCATTACATAGTTTACCTGCATTATAAACTATTTAACAAAAATATGTTGCTTTAAACAAAGAAAACATACATTTTCTCATTATCCAATTGTCTTTGTGGCCAAAAGCAATGATTGGACAGTATTTATTTGTCATTTTAATTTTAAAGATTTTTTCCTCCTTACCTGGTTTTAGTGCACAGATATTTTCTAATCTGTTTTAGAGCAGGAATTGAATGATGTAAGGAAATGTATTCTCACGCATAAAATAATGGATTCTATCACATCAATACAAATTATGGGACCAAAACCAAAAAAACAAACCAACAAAAAATCCTGGCAGTGCAGCATCGCTATGACAATGCACAGAGCGATATCTCCTGTGATTGTGTAAAAGAACTTTGTAACAGGGCTCGGTTATCATAATCAGGCAATTATAGAATCCGGAGTTGTTAGGGACCGATCCTGAGCGCCTTCTTAGCTGTGTTGTGGTCTTTCCCCTTCCTCCTCAATAGTTCATAAATCTGATGGACCGGATCCTGTTTTCACTGACTGCAATAGCAGCAGGATCGAGTCAGGTGTAGGCGATTAACTTATCAGTGCTCCTGTAACTTGCAAAATAAAGATCTCGGGAACCCCTAGTACAGCTGATGGAAAGAACTGTAGTGCGGCTGAGCTACAGATTCTTTGCTTCCTCTATCAGGAAAACATACTCTAGATCCATTCGGACAATCTATCAGTCACACACCTGGCGCGACAAAAAATGGGGGTAGGAGAGAAGGGTGGAGGCGAAAACACTCGAATTCCTAGGTGACATTTGTGTTAATTTTATAAATTAACACAAATTTATAAATTGACTTCCTGGCAATTCTCCAGAATCCTGATCTGGGTATAGTTAATTACTCAACATTAATAACACATAGTTTCAAAAATATTAACATTTTTGTAGAATTTCTCATATAATTTGTCCTCCATTTACTTTTGTATAGTACCTCTTTAAAGGAGTGACTAGATTGTTTGTATTGTCAGCGTCTGGGAGTTGACAACAGTACTGCTTTAATCCTGCATCTTGCATTAGATTGAAATTAAAGGTAGAAACATCGACTCATTTGAATAGCTGAATAGAGATTCATTTTTCAAATGCATTGTTTTATTTGAAATGGGCTTTTTCCTGTAGACACCACAGGAGATAAAGGAGTCAATTCAGAAGGAAAAAGAGTCCAGACCGTGTGGATGGGATCAGGAACCATTTTAGTGTCGTTATATGTCACTTAGTAAGTGATTCACAATACACTACATTTAAAATCTACTTTAAGAGGAATACGATTCTTTTTGCAGGTTAGCGGGATAAACAAAACCAGCAGGAGTAAGGGGGGAAAGACACTTCATTTCGAGGCAGATCATTAGTTAAGGAAAAACTACTCGACTGACAAAATCCGAGGCAAGAAAAGTTCACGAGGAAAAGACTAGAAGCCACTGTTGACCCAATAAAGTGTTCTTACCTGTCTAGGCAAGTACATTTATCCCAAAAGAGAGGAAAGTAAATGCAACCTTATCAAATCTCACCTGTTCGTGAACTCCTGCTGAGCGACTGAGAGCTCAACCCTTAAATCAAAGCCAGTATCGAGAATGGCTATCTGCGTCAGAGGCATACTTTCAAAACACAGAGCTTCCAGTTGTTGGGCTGGCAGGAGAGGTGTTAAAATGCACGAGGCTATCTATTTTGCCCCCAGAAATATGCTGGGCCCTTTCATCGCTGTTTATATTTCAGTCAATGCTGCCAAGTCCCGAAGTGGTTCTATTATGTCTAGATCCGTCCATAAAATTGCATTTCGTCTTGGTACTTACCGGTTTCTTCGTGGAAATCAGAAGCTCTTTACATTAATCGAAGTACATGCTGGGAGTGAGAAAGGAGGATTCAGGCTTTCACAATTTGTGTTGTGTCTGTCCTGTATTTAAAAGAAACGGGTGCTGCACCCTGCGATCTGACAACATCGGGCTTTTCGTTGGATTATTTGTTTTATTGACATTGGTGTGCGGTTTTGTGTGAAATTAGAGTAATAGGATTTTCCTGTTTCTGCTTCATCTCTTCTGTAGAAAAAAAATGAAGCTTCTTTAGATAGATAGATAGATAGATAGATAGATAGATAGATAGATAGATAGATAGATAGATAGCCATCACCAAGTTTAGTCCAACCTACTTTAACACACCCATAATACTCTAATAATATGGAAATCCTTTCTGATAATGACCAGTTCTATGTGCAGTTCTGCAGTTAAATGTATATAGTAAAATGAAACGAAGTCTGTACAATTAACACAGAAGAAAAATGTCCCTAGCTTCATGGAAAGAGACAGATGATTGGAACAGCTTCACGTGTCAGCGATATGTCCCTTAACAGAAAATCTCTTTAATGTCGATAAAAATATCTTATTTAGCTAAAACCAAGTGGCCACTTCAAATTAAACCTGAAGAATTACCCGTAAGTCCCGTCTGCATCAAAGGCAAAGATAAATACATTAAACGGCAACGTTTTCTAGGAAAAATGAACAGTTTTTTCTCTTTTAAAAAAATCATTCTTAATAATTTTGTTTCTGTGTTTGTTGCAGTTTGTAGGGGGGAATAAATCTTTGGGGTGGCTGGACTGTCCAGATGATCCAACTTTCATATTTGGTAAGTGAGCATGAATAGAAAACACTAATTTCCCTTACTTTTATTCTTCAATAAATGAGATGACAAATACTCCAGAAATCTGCCACCGTTCCCTTTGTTCACTGTCATTATCTCCCTACCTGAGGCCTCCCTGGAATACCCTTACTCAGAAATACTGCGCAAACTGGCTTCAAAAATTGTATGTTTTTCATCACGTAAGTGGGATGAGTTGTGACTCTCTTATAATAATAGCTCCAGCTACCGTCGGTCTCTTTTCTATTTCCCCTTCCTAATTTGCAACATCCTCCGGTTTCTGATGCAGAGAGACCACTAAACGGAATTGAAACTCTGGTCCCCATTAGACATCCGAGAGCAGAAGCTCTCTCTGTTCTGTGTCCCCGTCCTGTGACTTTGCAAAACGAATGACAGTTGAAGCAAATGATTTCAGGGAGTCATTGTAAATAGTTACAATCAGCTGTGGTGCACTAAGAAGAAAGGATCACTATACTGGAACCAGGGCTATACTATTCTAGCCTAGCAAACACACTTCGGCAACTAGACTCATCCCAAGAGGTTTGATCCGGAGTCACCCACGCACTTCTTAAGAAGAGTCTCCGTTCCTTCCTGCCCAGAGAGTCTTCAAAGTATGGCCAAATGCGGCTGACACCCAGATCATCGGGCACATTACATAGAGTTTCAGCAGCTAGCTGGCTAGAAATGTACTCTTTTTAAAACGGTTCACAGCCAAAGCCACCGTTTACTATTTGCAAACACCCGCACAAATAACCGCCCCGATCCTCGAGCTTAGATCCACTGCTAAATTGCAGTGAAAATCTGTCTCTCAAACAGCAGGCTGCAGTGCTCTAAAGAGGAGTGGGCACTGAGGGAATTTCCAGTAGCTGCTGATTCTCTGCCTCAGGCAGCTTGATTTGTCTAAGTAAGTGAAAACTGTTTTAAGAAGATTATAAACTGCAGCTATTCATGTGGCATTGTACCCAGTAGCTGTGTGTAAAACAGGTATGTGAGTTTGGCATAGCAGCTGGACAACAGGAGGCGCTGTGACTTTGTACAAACAAGTCTCCTGTACACGTAGAAATTCAGTGAAACAAAATTGTCTTACAATTACCTTTCAGCAGAGGAAACTTACTCTTTAAAAAGGGGCTGAATCTTTAATCGGGGTGGGTTGTGTGTGTTGATATCATTGCCTATGGCTTTTGGAAGGCCAGAGAATGTAATTTTAAACAGCTTGACTTTTGAGCTAGCTGATACACTTTGCCTTATAACGTTTCTATATAATTTTTGCGAACGTATCCAGTAGACATGTGGCGGAGACAGTTTCTGATCTCTTATGAGAGCTAATATATTAGGCGGTTGTTTTCACTAGAATTACATTGCTGCGGAAAATAGGATACTATCTTGCTTATCTCACACAAACAAAGAATAGTTTGTGGCACAATCACGAGAAAAACAGAGGACCCCTTGCTGCTGAGAGCCCCGCACGGTTTCATAGGGCATTCGTGTATATTTTGACCTGGTATGTTGTCCAAACAGAACCAAAAATATTGAAATAAATAAGTGACTCAAAAAGTACTAATTTGTGTTATAGATAGACTGATCAGGTCATAGATAGATAGATAGATAGATAGATAGATAGATAGATAGATAGATGCTGCATTCTTTGATTATGTTGTCTATTAATACCTTCTATGTGGATTTTGTTTCAAGATAAATCTTTTATTTACAGTGTGACCGTTTTAAAAAGCGGATTGTAATCCAGTGCTTTTATCCTTTTGTTTCTTTAACGGCACGTTTTCCTCCCTTGTTCTCGCCTGCTGATTTCATAGTTTTGTTTGTTTCGAAGATTTAACTTAACTCTGTTGCCAGATTTAAAGAAAAAAAGGGGAAGAAAAAGAACAAAGATATGGATAACAAAGGACGCGTTTACGAGACAAGTTAAAACATATTTCTCAAAGCAGAGATATTATATGTGAGACTATGTGTATTATAATGTTAATTTATTCTGAGAGACTTTAATGTGAAACGTGCTTAATTTGTGATGCACAAGAATTTGTCACACTATTAGTAAAAAAACCCACAAGGACAATTAAACGAGGAAGCAACTAAAAGCCGTTGTGTATGTCCCATCTGATAAACACCATGTACAGAAATTCAGTTCACTAGTGTATTTTTAATGTTTGTTACGATTCGTATCACATCGATTTTCAAATGCCCAAGAATTGTAAGGTGGTTTATTCTCCTTCCCTTAAACTCCCCCGAAAGCTTTTTACTACGAAGTAATACAAGTTCTGTCATCGGGACAAACATAAAGGATGTTGCTAAGAAACCCAAAGACGTGTCTACGATCTTGACATCAGATCAGAGAATCACAAAAGGTGGAAATTTAAAATGATATCTTAGTTCCCCTCCCCTGCAAGAGCGGGGTAGATTGCCCAAGAGTTTTGCTCAGTGTAGTTTTGTTTGTTGTTACTGACCAATTTCAACTTTTAGCCAAATATGACCATTGTGAGGCACCCCCATTTCTTGAGAGAAATCAGAGTAATGCACAATTAAAGTTACTAGTCAGGCATCCGCTGCTTATTATTATCACTGTGGCTGGGTGACTATTTCCAAGCAAGCTTATGGGATGAATACTTTCTATAACAAGGATAGAAAATGGTTTCAGTGACTCACCTGATGTTTGTCACATATAGGTTAATATCAGTGGATCCGCATTCAATCCGGTGTTCGTGTTTATTGGGTGGCTTAACGTCATGCCTCACCGCTGTGACTCACATGGCATGATTTCTGAACGTAAGAAACAGCAAAAGAGAAAAATAAAACTTACAGCTACATAGAAGCCTTGTATAGAGGAATGGACTGGTCTTAGCCCATGAACATGTCAATAGAATTTTGGAAACATATGGCAGAGAACATAGATTGAAATTGGAAGCGCCAAAGTTATTTGCTTTGGTGAGTGGGGGGGGGGGAGAGGAAGGTGAAAAGTGCTGTATAATCTTAAGACTAGTTCTCATATCTTGGGTGTATGTTGGCTACTTTGAATACTTTGAAATGCCGGTCGCCACGTTAAATGAACATCTACTGCACTTTAGTAAATACGGCTCCCAAATCTCCGAGTTCGGAGGCTGGGTGGCCTTTTGAATTCTATACAAACAGCGGGGGTTGCCCTTCCTTATCGTCTTCGTGTAATTTCCAGCGATCCCTGCTAGCATTTCTACTGGCCATTTGAAAAGAGGGTATTTTCCTTTCCTACTCTTTCTCCCCCCTCCCTCCTCCCACCTCTGTCTCTCCTTCTTTCCCCGTAGCTTAAACCAATTACACTGCTTTGCAAATAAAGTGACGCCCCGGGGGAGTTGCAAGCGAGTGGAACTGCCTTGTTTGCAGGTGCATCTCCGGCTTTGTAGGTGCGAACGTCTTTGTGCGGCGGACAAATGGGGAGAGGAGGAGGAGGAGGTGGGCACTTCTGCGACGTAAGATCCACATCAGCTCAACTCCACTCACATCCCAGCCGGCACTTCCTCACTTTCTCAAGTGTCTCGCCCCACACCGCTGCCTGCCTCTTTTTTGGCTGATTGTAGACCACAGCTCAACCCCTCCTCCTTCCCCCCTCCCCCCGAGATTTGGCTTCCTGCTAGTTTGGGGCTGTCACGCTCCCTTTCCTGCTGCCTGTGGCTGGGAGAGAGGCTGGATGGTTACACCGGGCAGGTTGGCTCCATGATGTTAGGGACTGTGAAAATGGAAGGGCATGAAACTAACGACTGGAGCAGCTACTACACCGATACGCAGGAGGTGAGTGAATCCAAGGAGCTCGCTTGTTTGCTGCCCCGGAGCCGCTGGAGCTGGCGCAGGGGGAGGAGGGAGGGCTGGAGTGTGTGTAACAATATGGGGAAGAGGGTTGCACTCCAGATCCTGCCAGTGCAGACGTGCCTTTTCCACTGAAGCCGGCCAAGCAATAAAGAAATCGCCAGGGTTTCCCTCAACCCAATGGCGCTTCCGTGAAAACGGGGCCGCTGCTTGTGCTTGCAGTGAGTGGGAGTGCGGGGGAGGGGGATCGAGCTCGTGTAAGAGGCGTCATTTGTACTTTTGCACACACACACAAAAGCGCCCCGTAAACTCTCGGCTTGGCGCAGAGGACTGTGCCTGAGCCCTCGCTCCCGCAGCCCAGGGCTCTCCAGATGGTGCACGGTGTGAGGGCCACGAGTTGCAAAAATCCTTGGCAAATACTAGCGCCTTCCCCCGCCGTGGGCGAGTTTCGGTTTTAAGGCCTTTCCCCACAGCTTCCTACGGCCTCACCTGTTAATTCTGGTGCTTTACTGGGCAAAATAACCAGTCGTTTGTCCTTTGCAACAAGATTTTTGAAACATGGCAGTGCTTCTTCCTGGGACCGGAGGGTGGCGCTGCTGAGAGTCTCCTCAGGCGGGCCCGGGGGAACCTGTCTCTTTCTCCATCCCCGTCGCATTTCCATGTTATTCTTGTTTTTACAATATGCTCAGAAGGAACAGAAAGAAAAGATCAAACATAAGCAAATGGACAATGATAGAGGGCAAATAAAGCACCAATACGGAGTGAATTGCCTCCCCTTGGAATATGGATTGAAACCCAACAGGGATTGCTGTTTGCACATTTGTGGATGTGACCGTTTAGCTCACATTGGAATATTTGTGAGAAACAACACACTTAGCATTAAACAAGTAACAGAGAGAATATCCAAAGTTATGCACAGATTAGTACGCAGAAAGGAGACACTTCATAGTAGAATTGTAAATGCGTAGGGTTAAGATGCGGGATATATATATACTAAATATTTGCGCACACATATAGGAACAGTGGGTGCATGGGTGTTCCCATACACTTATTTTTTAATGTTGAAGGGGCAGATGAAAACCATATTTAGCTTTTCTGTATTTAATATTCCCTACCATAAAGTTTTGGGAGCCTTCCTATTACTATGTTAGCGACAATTGCTTGTCCTTATTTGCTACTATAATATATACACTGCATAGATTTTTGTAAGGGAAACGCCTTCTTGTTTTAAACTGTTCCGTGAAATAATTATCTCAATATAAAATAAAACCAGGATTTTAGGAGACAAACGGCATGATTGCTTATAATAAGGAGCTGCAAATTCTACAGTACATCAATAATAATTAAACATAGCTTTTACTTAGCAGAATTCTATTTGTTCACTCTAAATTGTAAATGAACGAGAAAGGCCTTGACCTTATTTCTATCCAATTAAGATGTATTATTGCTTTATATTCCTTTAGTAATTTTGGTGATATATTTTATGATAGTTCAGAAATGTGTCTCAATCGTATTTTTATTGCACATTAGAAGATTATAAAAAATCATAAGGAAACAATATAGAATTTAGCGTATATATATTTTGGGAAATGTTTTTTGATGTTAGGTTAAATAATGTGACACAGATATTGAACAAAACGGTCCACGTGCTGTCTCTCAGATTTATAAATAAAATATGGTCTAAACGGGGGAATAGCTGAATTTCTTTTAATGGTATATTATTAGTTTGTTTAACAAAAACAAATCAAATACGTGGCAGCCATATGTATGATGATGCTTTGTAGGAAAACCTAGACAATTTAATTCTGCCTTGTCCAAAATTTAATCAGAAAACGCACAAGTTTGTTCATATTTTTGTATTAGGTTTTTATTAGCTAATCAAACATTAAGAATATGGGGAGAAATAAGAGGAACATGTAACTGGTTTTAGACAATCGCTTTACATTATTTGTAAGCATGGTGTGTGCATGACTTGTTTTGATATGAAAAGGTGAGATTGTACTTTTAGCGTGACTTAGTAAGATAAGTGCATGCTGCATCAGTCGCCGGAGATACAAATACATGCGCTTTTTCCAAATAAGTACTGAATAAAATATTTAGCTTTCTCACCCTGCTACCGTCTGCATGAAACAGCGGAGAATAAAATTAGCAGTTTCCGTAGTATAGTAATAGACACACTATAAAGGCAAAAAGGTGTTCATGTTGGCTGGAGGTTTGTAAGATACATCAGAGGTGTATATATTATCACTTTGTATTTGTAAATAGGCTGGAGGTAGATCGCCTCCAGAACGGCCGTGGTAACTTCCTGGAGGTCAGGCGACGTTACTGCTCGGTGTAAGGCCGGGAGACGTTTCCCCTCTTGTGCAAGGGACTCCGGGGATTCGCTTTCATAAAAGTGGTTCGTGTCCTTCTCTCGTGCTCACCGCCTCTCTTCATCTTGTGTCCCTGTCTAGGCCTATTCCTCAGTTCCCGTCAGCAACATGAACTCCGGCCTGGGCTCTATGAACACCATGAACACCTACATGAGCATGAACACCATGACCACGAGCGGCAACATGACATCCAGCTCCTTTAACATGTCCTACGCCAACCCGGGGCTTGGGGCCGGCCTGAGCCCCGGCGCCATGGCAGGCATGTCGGCGGGCTCCAGCAGCGCCATGAACAGCATGACGGCAGGGGTGGCGGCCATGGGGACGGCGCTTAGCCCCACCGGCATGAACGCCATGTCCGCCCAGCAAGCCTCCATGAATGGCCTGAGCCCGTACGCCAGCATGAACCCCTGCATGAGTCCCATGGCCTACGCCCAGTCCAACCTCTCGCGGAGCCGGGACACCAAGACCTTCAAGCGAAGCTACCCGCACGCCAAGCCGCCGTACTCCTACATCTCGCTGATTACAATGGCCATTCAGCAGGCGCCCAGCAAGATGCTGACGCTGAGCGAGATCTACCAGTGGATCATGGACCTGTTCCCCTACTACCGGCAGAACCAGCAGCGCTGGCAGAACTCCATCCGCCACTCGCTCTCCTTCAACGACTGCTTCGTCAAGGTGGCCCGCTCGCCCGACAAGCCCGGCAAAGGCTCCTACTGGACCCTGCACCCCGACTCGGGCAACATGTTCGAGAACGGCTGCTACCTGCGCCGGCAGAAGCGCTTCAAGTGCGAGAAGCAGGCGAGCAACAAAGCCAGCGCGGAGGGCAGGAAAGAGCCCCCCGGCGCCTCCCAGTCCGGCTCCAACTCCCCTTTACACCGGGCTCACTGCCCCACCCCAACCCCCACCCCCGCCGCCAGCCCCCCAGCCATGGACCACACTGGAGCGAGTACTGAGCTTAAGACCTCGGCTTCCGCGGCGTCCTCCACCCTCAGCTCCGTGCCCTCCCTGGCGCCTGTCCAGCACCCGCCGCACTCCCTAGCCCATGAGCCCCCGCTCCACCTCAAAGGCGACCCCCATTATTCCTTCAACCACCCCTTTTCTATCAACAACCTCATGTCCTCCTCGGAACAGCAGCACAAGCTGGACTTCAAAGCCTACGAGCAGGCGCTGCAATACTCTTCTTACGGGGCTGGCATCCCGGGCGGGCTGCCCCTGGGCAGCGCCTCCATGGCCGGGAGGAGTAGCATTGAGCCCTCCGCTTTGGAGCCTTCCTACTATCAAGGTGTGTATTCCAGACCCGTGCTAAACACTTCTTAGCTCCGCTCGGCCCACCTCGCGGGGCGAGTCCGAGTCTCCCCCTCGCCAGCCCGGGAACCAAACTGTCCCATTCCCGCGCGCTTCCCGCGTAAGGACTGTTACTTTCTTGTTGTGTTCACACGCCGTGGGTACGTTGTTCGAAACCAGGAGCGCCTGCAAAGCGGAGCGACTCGCTCCCTCGCCTCTGCCCTTCCAAAGATCGCTGACGCCTTTGCCGGGGGTTGCTTACGAGAGAGAAAGAGAAAAAAACCGATTGTTGGGCTTGTAAACTGTTTGTTTGTGCTTTCCATCCCTACCCACTGCCCCCTTCTGTGCTCTATAATCTCATGCAAGTTTACAGGTATGTGGCAATACTTTTAACAATACGGAGATGAAGAAGCAAGCAAGCAGACGTATACGGTTCTCTTTTTTAATTAAGAAGGTCTGAAGGACAATACTGCTGTGAAGTCGCAAAACACTAATCTCTAAGCAACAAGAAAGCTATTTACTTTCTCAGATTATCCTTTTGACACTGGCAAAATACTCTTCGGTTAGTAGAACACGCATGCACAATTGCCCTGGGACGAATCCTGCACTCTCATTGATGGAAGTGGGAGTTTTGGAGCGCAGAATTTGGCCCAGATATTTCCAAGCGTTACCTGTCTCGGGATGTGGTACAGAGGTCACAGTCAGTTGGATTTGTTTTCTCCCAAGCTGTTACGAAGATTCTCCTTCATCAGGAACTCTCTTCAACACGTGGATGACATAATTATTTAATTTGAGTCTCTCCATTGTGTACAAACTAGACCTATTGCTGTATAACATTATTTTCCCCAGAAAATACTGCATATTAACGCAACGCAAGGAGGGGCGAGGAGAGAGCTCTCTCCTTCTTATATGTTCCAGAATGAGACCTCCAGAATTTGTTATGGCCTTTCATTATTGCCATTGTTAGCTTGTTTCATCCAGTGTTAATGCACTTTCCACAGTTTTACACGGTGTTAGCATAGACAGACGGGTCTTATTATTCCTGTTCGCTTTCTCAATGTTCTTAATTTATTGCATGGTTTATATTTTCTTTCTTTACAGCTGAGATTGCTTTAAATAACAGTAAAATTACACATGAGTTTTTTAAATGTTAATTTTATAAATGTGATTGTAATTGAAAAATATTTTGATTTAAAATGATACCTGAGAATTTAAGCCGTGAAGTATGTTTTTTGATCATTTGCAGTTAAGGACTTTAAATAAATCAAACGTTAACAATGGACGATTTCTGTTATTTTCTTTCAGTTGCATATGTGTGAAGGATAGAATAGATTTATATAAAATATAAACATAGTTAAAATATAAATATAGTGTTTATGATGAAGGTATAATATTTTAAAATGAAAGGCTATGTATTAAATATTGAACTCTTGTGAACCATAGTGGTATGCTGGCATTAATAATGAAAGCAAGATAGATAGATAGATAGATAGATAGATAGATAGATAGATAGATAGATAGATAGATAGATCCAAATAAACCCTCTCTATATATAGTAAATATATTCATGTATAAGCATTCACCTCAAATTTAAAAAACACTCCATGTGAAAAAATGCAATTAGATGAAAGTGTAATATCCTTTTCTTTGTTTTAATTTCTAGCCTTTTGTCATTTTTAGGGCTGTAAAGAAAATGAAAGTATATCGTAGTGTGTATTCTGTTCCCTAGGAAATTAAAACACACAGTATTTAAACGGTAAAAATCCACAGCAGATTATGCTTTTTAGTTTAAGTGCCATGTGATGACTCCTACTGTATATTTAATCTGTATTTATTGCAAATTATGCAGATGTTTCCGAGTCCAGTTGTAGATAACTAATTTAACAAAATATGCCTGTCCTCCTTACCGCTCTGCCTAAATATTAATTGGTCATATCTGATAACTGTTATGTGTGCTAGCATGCCAAACACATTTTGTACCAATTCTTCTAAAGACTCAGTTTCCAGGAATTAAACGGCTGGCCATTGTTACACAGAGAAGAAAATCTCTTACATGCAACTTCACACCAAAATGCTGCTCTAAATCACACAAAAAAATCATTAATCTCCTTAGATACTAGGCTCAGTTTCCAGTCCACCTACTTCTTTGTAGCCTTTGCTCAGATTGACATCAATAACAACAACAACAACAGCTCCGGCAATGCTGATCCCCAGCAAGCAGCACTTGTTTGTGCACTGCATCCTCGCCAGGGTATGAACTTGAACAGATTTTACTTTGATCAGCCCACTTCATACAAGAACACGAGATAAAAGAACTATGTAATTCTCTTAATTAGCACATAATTGCTCCCTGACGGGTCGGGGAAAGTGGAGACAAACTAAATTCGGGGAAGGGGGATCACAGAAATCCCTTAGCAAAACCAAGTCTTAAAACCCGGCGGCCCAGGCAGGAACGAAAGGAAACCTATAAAAGAGAAGCCGCTCTTGCGCTTTTCACAGACAGGTTGATCGTTCACAGAAGCCAACACTGTAAGAACATAGACACGCGCACACACAATGCGTATTTTGCCACATTTTTATTCTAGAACACTCTGAAAGGCAGCTCCACGCCTGGTAGAAAACGAGCTGTTGAGCGGTGTAGCTAAATGGAATTATTTGCAGCCCCTTCGCATAAGACTGTCTATACCCCCTGGAGTGGAGCTGCAAGCTGCTCAGCACCATTGCAAGTCAGGCCATATGAGATGAGCACACCGCCCTCACTCATTCTGGCAAAGGCAGTTTTGCCCCAGTAATTACTACCCAAGCTCATTTTAAGTAGAATTCCCCCGCTTGTCCATAGAATAGTGTTATAGATAATACTGTACTTCTACGTGAAAACATTTATGCTTTGCATAGAAAATATAAATTGACTCACAGCGCTAAGACACCCGGTTTCAGACTTCAGTTGTGGAATACTGACAGGGTGTAACTGATGTTGAAAAAATATTATGGGGGTGTGTAGTAAAATGTATTAACCAGAACATTCTGGTTCAAAATGTGCTGTCTAGATATAATTCAGTCTATACTACAGATAATGTGTATTTCCAGGATATACACTAAATAATTATATATTATAAAGGTTAGAATCTAAAATGGGGGAAACCATATAAATGAAGTAAAAGGGAAATATTCGTTGTCAGGACGAAAAAAGTATTTTTTAAAACAATACACATTTTGTGCTTAGTTCAAGATAAAGTCATTAAAAGGAAGGAAAGTGGTGTGTTTTCTGCTACATGCTCAACTGTTTAGGTCTGTTGTTCCTGCAGCTTCTGCTCTTTACAGATCTGCTCAACAAGCCTTCAGCAGAAGCATAAAAAAAACACCCTCGAGACGGGACTGCAGGTAAAGGAGAGCAATATACCAATTCCATAGTATTCATAGAAGGAAAACATACATATTACAATAATTCAGTCCTAGCGCTCTTCCAGGGTCAAATTAATGATAGGGAGCATGAATTTCCTATATTTCAATTCTTGGTATCTTAGCCCTATTGCCTTACTGGACGCCAAGGAAATGGGTGAATTCAGGATTAGTTGCGCTGTGACTTTCGGACGTTAGTCCAGTTTATCTGCCTTTTAAAATGCAATTATCTTTAATCAACCACATGCTAGAAAGCTAAAACTATTGGCATCCCTCAAGTTCATTTAACCTAGTTAAATGCAAGCAGGGAGTCATTCAGTATATTAGAGGACCTCTTCAACGTCTAAGTGGATTTCAGACGCTTTGAAAGACCCAGATCTGGAAATCGATCCCGCATTCCTTGCATGGGAATTTTTGAGATCGCAGGGAATACGGCCTCGGATTCGTGCCTTGTGGTACAACCTAAGTAGTGCCAGTACTCCCCCGCCTCGTAATTTTTAAACTCAATTTCCCTTTGGCAAGTTTTATAAGCAATGAGGAGAAACACACGCGCCCAGATTGTCTTAAGTCTAAAAGGAAATACACGTCGCACCTCTTGGAGCTGCAGAGAGATCAGGATCAAGCCCTAAATTTGCATCACTTGTTAAAAAGGAGAAATCCTTATTTTTCTTCAAAGGGGAATAAAATCGTGAGAATCAAGGAATGGGCAAGAAGAATGACACACCTACATTAGAAAGGAATATAGCAATAGCCCTTCGGTTTTGTTTGCTCTATAAGGTCAATATTGGTATGTGTAACAGCAAAACCATTGTAAGGGGATACCTATTGAAATAAATTAGTTAAAAAACGCTATATGGAATCATGAAATAATAGAATTTTCTGGGTGTAGACTTAAATTTTGCTGCATCAATAAAGTATAAATATGACCAAATCCTAGAAAATCTATATTTAAAAGACATATCTCACTAACGTGCCCATGTCTTGTTTTAAAATGACTGAAGGGGGAGGGATTGATTTTTTTATTGGTCAATGATTAGTCAACACTAACCACTGCAACCTGAACTAAGCGAACTATCCCTGCTGTAAGGATAACTAGCCTTTAAAATAATCAATGGAATTGGTGTTGATTTTGCAGCAATATTATATATAAATCACTTGATTGCTGTAGCAGTGTACACAGTAATTGCTCCTTTTCGCTATGAAACAACAGTGGTTCTAGAATGTAGATTTAAAAAAAAAATTAATTTGAAAAATAGTTTCCTTAAAGCACACTCACAAGACAGAAATACACGTGTTAAAACACAATTGTTAGTCTACATTCGGTGGTTAATTTTGACTTAATGTTGAATCAGAACTACTCTCCTTATATATTATAAGAGTGAAATGGTCTATGGGGATACAGGATATATAGATATATATATGAATTTGTTTCCACGGGAAAACACATGCAATGGAAACATACGAATAATCAAACTAGCACTACATGACAATAGCTTATACATACTGATGTGTGTGCAGCTAGGGCTAGAATTTCCATTGCTAAGGCAAAAGCTCCCATTAGATTAGTTGGGGGGTTTGTGGTATAGAATGTTTGATACCAATCAATAACTTTTAAAAAATGAGTTAACTGGTGACTAAATTTGCATATGATGCTGTAAGACGGTGGTAATTTCTCCTTATCAAAGCACAGACTTCTCAATTTCCCAGAAAATACAGCTAATAACTAATAACTATAGAATGAGGATGTCTATATTTTCCAAGGTCTAAAGGTCAATTTTCAGGAGGCGAAAGATTGAAAAACATGTTAAACA